AGCAGGAAAATTGAGAACTTCTCTCCTTAAAGAATGGGAAAAAGTCAGCCAGCCAAACGCTCAGAGAGGAAACACTGGAGAAGATAAGGTAAAGGTTTTCAGACGCATATGCAGATTCATAAATAGGTTTTTGCTGAATTGGGAAAAGAGCTTGGCCTAGGATTTTTTTTTTTGATAGCATTCTAAAAATCTCCAAACTTTTAGTAATTTGATTTTAAGTTTGCTTTGAATTTTAAGGGAACTATTTTCCTTTTAAACTGTACTTTTAAAATACATTTTGTTTTGCCAAAATTTTGTTTATCTAGTGGATTATCTCAAGCATAGAAAAGTGTGAGCGTGAAAGGCAGAAAAGGGCTAGAGAAAGCTTTTTATTCTTTAAAGTATGTGGCTTTCTCTACTTATATTTTCTGCTATCACTTAGTCTATCAAAGAACAGCTCAGAATTCAGAGTTCTGTCTGCAGTTTCAGCACCACAGCTTCAATCTTCTCATGGTACCCAAATATGAGTAAGCCAGCCAATTTAGCATTATTCGACCACACTGAAAGAAATAAGGAACTGATGATTAATTTAGATGCATTGTACATTATTGTCTGAACTATTATTTACACAAAGATCTCACTTTGACTCTGGTTTTCATGAAGGGTTCCCTTTCCTAACTGCTTTGAATAAGAGTGGTCTTGGTTAGTTTGCAGGAACTAAAATCTTTGGGCACAGTATTCAAAAAGAACTGAAGATAGTTTATCAGAAATATTTAACAGTCAAATCAGCCAATTTTCTATTCCACTTTTTCTTAAAATGGAGCAAAAGTGAAATGGTAAACCAGAAGGGATAAAAGCATGATAAAGCAGGATATACTGCCTGACCTTTCCAGACTTTGCAAATACGATCTAAAACAGTAGAGTTTTATCCAATAATTGAACTAAATTATGTGCCAGCATGCGACTGAAATCTTCTCAAAATTTAATTCTGTCTAGATTATATGTTTTTTTTTCTTCTGAGATCACACTGATTAGCATTGTGTATTCATGCCTTGAAGAGACCTCTTTGAGGGCACAGTAGATAATTCAAAACTCAATCTCCCCACCCCCCACAACCTATGTATTCTTGAGAGAAAGACATTCTTCCTGAACTCACAGATCTCAACAGCAGCGTTATCTGTAGGTAAGAAAGATACTCTGCAATATATTTAAAATATAAATTTTATGGCATTTAAGTTCAATTTCTGGGCCCTTTGTGCGGTTTCTGAAAGTTTTAAATTGACAGTATTGAGAAGATTCTGCTATATTACAGTTTTATTAGACTTTTGCTGGAACTAAGAAGTTAAAAATCAGGCTATGATGTCACACTATAAAGGCTGGAAACAGAGACAGACAATGCTCTGACTGTCTGAGACTAGAATTCACCTCTGTCGAGTCCTAGTTCAAAATTCTGCCTGAAATGAAAATTGAGCAGCTAGTTAAATACGTTTATTCTAATTTTTTGGTTACTAAATGGGGAAGTCTCTATATAACTTTTTTCCTCAGGTAAGCTACTGGTTCAGCATTGCTGCTGCTGCTAAAACAATTCTCAAATTTCTATTTTCTGCTCTTTCAGAGAAACTGACTTGGAAATAAAATGAGGAATTGCCAAATGGTAAATATGAAAGTAACTGCCCTTTTAAAATGCATCTGCAACAATTTTTTTTTTTATTATTTATTTTTATAGTTTGCTATGCTGAAAACTTGCAGCATCCTGAAGTCAGTTCTGTTAACAGAATTAAACTGTAAAACA